TCCCCCTGTAGAGCTATTAGATCTTCGATTTGATGCATCGGTTTATTCCTACTTTTCATGGGAATGAGACTTTTTATTTGATCTTAACTAGAATAAAAAGTCAGACTTGGATTGGACTATTTTCGGGTGTCTGGCCTTTTGACCCTCAAAGAGTCAAAGATGGGTTCTAGTCAAAGTAAAACCTGCCAATTTCATATGTTTCGCTCCTAATATGAAAATTGTGTCCACCTCTAAATAGACAAAACATGCTTCTAACAGTTACATAATTGGTTCAATTGTATCGGTATTTTTTTAATGGCAAAGGCTTATATTATTATATCAAAACCACACAAAAATCAGATAGACATCCCTAATACGGTCACCAACCCTAAGATTTGACATACAATTACTCACACTAGAAAATGCACAATAATCCAGAGTTCGCCTCAACCTTGTTTTATCTGCCAAAGTTCTCCGTCTCCATCATCGAGTATGCCTCTGATGCTGCCTCTGCTGCAACCCTCCTCCGCTCTTGTTCTTCCATTTGCACACATGCCGGCCATTTGCTTCCCATTTTCGGAAGCCTCACTTGCATCATAGAGAGAAGCATGTTCCACACAGGTTCCTAATACCTGGGACTTTTTTGTTCCAACCATCATGTTTATCCTGGGCTTGTTGCCCTTCTCTAGGACAAGCCATTTATTCCCCCTTGCTATTTTCACTGCTACGCCCATTATTAGCCCTCAACCATCGCACAAACTTCTTACTTTGCTCCTAGGTGGATTGTCCTAAAACTCGAGGGCAGAACCTATCTGCATGGCCGATGACACCACATACAAAACAAAAGTTTGGAAGTTTTGCGTATTCTTCTTCTGAGGCCTCCCTATATATGTCTAGACACACCCTAATTCTCAAGTAAGCCCTCTAGCATCCTTCAAATTGATTTTTATCTAACTTAACAAATCTTCCTAAAGAGTTACCAATAATTTTGCGACCATTAGAGTCAAGTAACCAACTAACAGGTTATGAACTTGAGTCCGAAATTCTGATAAATTTAGCGAAAGTTTCAAAGGCAGATCACAGCTTTTAAAGCACGCAAAACTACATGATTTTCTTCATATGACCACGTGCCATATTCAATAACATGTTTCATATCCATTTCATGACACAAGGAGAATAAATACCTTTTTCGCCGATCTTCTTAATAGAAACACCCCTACTAAATCTCCAAATTGACGCGAGTACATCCCTTAACAGAAAAATTTCACCGCCTTATCATTAACAACTGTATCAACCCGCAACCACTTCGTCAAGTCCCCCTCCCGGTCTCGTTATCATTCACATCCGGCAAAATGATCCCCACCTCTTCATCATTGATGCTTAATCACACATAACTCTCGCCAAACCTTGTTGCGCTCTAATGTTGGTTGTTTTTGTTGCATTGGTTTCTTCTAAAGTTCTAACCTTGCTGTCGAACAACCCCCACAGAAAGAAGAAACCATTCATGTCCACCGACTAAGGGAGTGACACCCTAAGCCAATCTTATCGCTAATTGTCAATCTCTAGTACCTGCCGCTCCTGTTGAATTCATGTTGAATCCCAATCCTAGCCGCAAACAAGGAATCTCCCGGGCCTCGTATCGGTATCTACATCCAAGTACTAATGTATATTGATGCTCATAGATGTTTTATACTTCGTATAAGAATTATTAATTTGCAAAATTAATATGCTTGTTTATATTAGCATGAAGATATTATACTAAATTATACTTCATGTTAATTTACATTCGTATGTATATTGTTTGAGTATATATTCATGTTATGATTTGAATTTAAAAACAAAAAAAAAAAAAACAAAAAAAAAAGAACAAGTCTGGGGTTGATTACACGTAACATAGTGCATATTAATATTTATCCTAACAATTGCGATGAGAGATTGCTATGTAAAAATGCATAGAACCTAGAATCATAACATTATTCTCTATGTGTCAACTTATGATTAAAATCCAATTTAGATCTCCTAGCTAATTGTTCGGCCGATGTTGGGACCCTCGAAGATGTGGTGTCATCCTTTATTAATGTTAACTCACAGAGATACGAGTGTAGGCTTTGCCAAATCAAACTTTTAATCCTAAACGATTAAATTATTTAAAGAACACAGAATATTACAAAATACAATAGCTTTTTGATAAAGATAATGTTGACATAGTGTAGTTGCGAGGGATTGAAATGGATTGGAAGTCCATTCATTGAATTTCACATATCTTTTAGTCTTTTATAGAGTTTTAGAGCCAAATAACAAAGGATACACAAAGATACGAAAACAAAAGAGCCTTTACTAGGCAAATGACATGCCAGACTGTATTGCTTCTTGAAGTGAGACACGCCCCATGTCATTTACTAATTCTATCTGTTTCATATATGACTATATAACTATATGTGAGCTACTATTGTACTGTTTATTAATGTAATTCAATATGTTTCATATATAAGCATAAAGCATTTAACTATGAGCCTGTTTGAACACAAAAATTGGATGAATCGATTGATTTTGTTGAAATTTATAAATTTCTAACTGAAGCAGTTTGATTGACTAAATATGTTGAATTATTAGAAAAACTATTTTTAAAATATACGTAGTATTTATTAATAAAATAAAGAATAAATTATATGAGAAAATAACTAAAATGATCATCTGCACTAACTTCAACCAATTCAATCGTAAAAGTAACTCTAACCTTAGTTATTTTGATTATTACACAATTTAGTGCACGAAATCAAAAAAATTGTGTTTCGTAAAAAACTAATTGACAAACCTGATATGCCGAAAATAGGGATCATCAAACGAGCTCTATATCTAAGATACTTTTTATTAATGCAATGAATTCACTTACCAAATATATATACCAAACCATGCAATTAATCAAACCTAAATGAAATATCACTTTCACTTAAACTGTATTGTTTTTCTAAAGTTCATTCTAACTTGTATGTTTTCTTTGTTTAAAAATTATACTCCCTCTTTGTTTTCTAAAGTCCCAATTTGTTTTGCAAAATTTCCTATTTTGGTTGTCCCAAAATGATTTATCACCTTCTATTTTAGGTATGTAAATAAGAATGAAGTGACAAATTTACCCTTACTTTTACTTTTTCCATCAACTTAAAGGCATCTACTTTTAACATGATGGGCAAAAGTGTAAAAACATGCATCATTTATTGTCATTCCTTAATCCTTGTGCCAGTCAAAGTTTGCAATTCAATTTGGGACGGAGGGAATAATGTAATAAAAGACCTAAATATCCTTATTTTTTTATCGTCGTATAATATGTTTCCTTTTATCCATTTTGTTTTATATGTATTCTTTCAATAATATTTATCTTATCAATTTCATCTTCATTTTATCCTTATCTTTATCATATCTTATCTTTTTTATCTTTCTTCTCATTTTAGCTCTGATATTATGTATCGATTACTATTAACTGATCCTAAATCTTAAGAGACTAAGGCTTAGATGATGTTGTATGTAATATGTTTCCTACATTTTCATCTCATGTCAAATCTCTTACATTTTTTTTTCTTTTTCCACTATTCATTATTCCTGCAAATTTACTTACTTTTTCCGAAAAACTCAATCTAGTAACAATTGTTATACTACGGGAGCATAATGTTCCCACACCTATAATGACGTCATTTAGGTTTAACCATTAATTAAACAAATGTGTGTGAACAGTATATTTGTTTTTGTCTCAACATTTTTTCATGATGTAAATCTCATGTATTGAAATGTAACTCGCGTTGATACGAAATGTAAATTTAGTTAGCGACAAATGTAATCCAACCCGTTCACATGGAGGAGTGTAACTCGCATTACTCTCTCCAATGATCATTCTGGCATCTTTCATATATGAAATGTAATTCGTGTGTATGCAAAATGAATCCTTCTTGGTGTACACCCTGGGTTACACCCTGGAGTACACCCCATTTATTTGCCCTTCACACAGACAAAAAACATGAAAACACAAACACTTTCAATTAAACTGTAGGTGTGAGTTTGCAGATCTGACAGGCTAGTTGCACGCAAACCAATGTCGGTGTGCACAGACACTAGTTCTCTGTGTAGACAAAAAAGTGTCGGTGCAAACAAAATTGGTTTGCAAGTTCAGGGGGTTGGGAAACCAGTGTCAGTGTACACAGACATTAGTTGTCGGTGTAGAAAAAAGTTTCTGTACATATGCAATTTTCATCGGTGTACACATACATTAGTTGTCTGTGTAGAAACAAAAGTGTTTGTGCATATACAATTTTCGTCGGTGTACACAGAAACTGAAAGCAAATCAGTGTCGGCGTGCATAAAACGTAAAAAGAGAGAAGGAAAGAAAACCGACAAAAATTATATACGTACAAACACTTTTTTCTACACAGACAATTTATTAATGTCTGTGTACACCGACACTAGTTTCCCACCCCCTGAACTTGCAAACCAATTTTGTTCGCACCGACACTTTTTTGTCTACACAGACAACTAGTGTCTGTGCACACCGACATTGGTTTGCGTGCAACCAGCCTGACAGATCTGCAAACTCACACCGACAGTTTAATCGAAAGTGTCGGTGTTTTTACGTTTTTTGTCTGTGTGAAAGGCAAATAAATGGGGTGTACCCCAGGGTGTAACCCAAGGTGTGCCTTAAGAATTTTCCATGCAAAATATATACGTAGTATTTATTAAGACGTACAAGTCATGTATTATCAAATGTAACTCCAGGCATCGTCCATAAATATAACTCGCGCATATGGAAATGTAATCTCATATATTATCGAATGTGAATCATGCATATGTATAAAAACTCATATAAAAGATACAAAAATATTTTACGGAAAAAATGACTCATCATCATCATCATTACCTCAGTGCCGCAAAGGCTCCCACCTATGGTGGGGTAAGGGGGGTCGGATGTACGCAACCTTACCCCTGTACTAAAGCACAGAGAGACTATTTCCGAATGACCCCTAGTGAAAATTGCGTCGGAAATTGCATAGGTTGACTATTCGTTCATAACAAAGAAGCGCACACAGTTTGTGAGCCATTTTGCTTTATTCCATCATATTCTCAAGCCAAAATATATCGAGTCTTTGGCTCCATTGACTATTAAAATTATATTACAAAAGTGTATGAATAAAAAAATACAGAAAAAAATAGTGTATGAATATGAAATGCAATATACTTACTTTATTTAGATTAATTAATTATTTGTTATGATTTAGTAAGAATAGAAAATAAATTCATCCCTAGTGCCATCTCATTTGTCTTCTCAACTCCTCCATAGTTTTGTACGGTGCTGCACCTTGAAGCTGCCATGCTTATCTATGGAGGAATGAACCATCTCATCTCTTCCAAAAAAAATGAAACATGTCAGCCATATTTTAAAAATATCTTTTCAGCCCTATCATAGAAGACCTTTTTCTGATGGTGTCACCAGAATCAATGCCACAAAAAAATGTCAGCGCCACACTTGGGAGATTTTCTTTTATTTTATTTCTTCCTGATGGTTTTCAATTCTTTCTCCCATTCTTTCATTACTTCTAGCAGCAAAGAATGTCACTTCTGATAGCTGGGCAACATAAGAATGAAAAACATAAAAAGGAAAATCGAAAACCAAAATGTAAAAAGAAACTAAAAAGTGAATGCACGACTGATTCCGGCAAATTCATCAGATAGTCTCAATGATATGATGGACAAGGAAGAAGAGAGGGAAAAAAAACTACCAGAAAGTAAAAAAAATATGTGAGCTTCACCGGACTGGAAAGAAAAAAGTAAATAGAAAAAATCAAAACGAGCAGAAAGTAAAAAGAAGATGGAGCTTCGTCTGACAATGAAGAAGAAAAAATGAAAAAAGAGGATATTTCCTCTTACAGCAGGCCATCAGTATGCCACAGAACAACGAAACAACAGAGTGAAGCTCAAGAGACCGGGTCTATTAGAATTTAATTCAATATATGGTAATGTCTCATTATAGTCAAACCATCATGCACATCAAGAACATACTTAGGACCGGGTCTATATACTAAAGCATATGATTTTAAGGTCTGCGGCATGCACATAACATTTGTCAGTACTATTGCATCAACAAAAAGATGTGTAACTCACATGCTTCTTGATCAATGAATAAGTATTTAGGACGGGAAGCTACCCTTAGAGAATACCTTTGGCTTTACAAAATATGGAAGTGAGATCTCGGCAGGAGAGGAATCAGGATTCAACTCTTGAAATTGTACTTCAAAGGTCAGAGACTGATATAAGCAAACCTCATCTTCTTTACAGTAGTAAACCTGTTAAATTGAGCTTCAGCTAGCTAGTTAGGTAAACCACAACCAGAACGATCCTTGTAAATTTGATTCCATCCAATAGGATTGGTAGTATGTGGTGCATAGCTTTAACACATGAACAGAAAATAAAAACAAAAGCAAGTGTATATTATGAACCTTCAAAAACGAAGCTCTAACTAATATCCCGACCAGGTTTTCATATAACTTTTTGTATTTTATGCTACACTAATACGGAGTATCAGTTTTTGTTGATACAGTTCGATATTTTAAATAACTGTTTGTATTTACTAGTCTTAATATTTTTATTCATATCTCTCATATTCCCTTATAGGAATAAAATGGTCTGCACATACAACCGAACTACTATTACTTGGGGAAGATGGAAAATTAGCAGAAGGAAGCAAGTTTTGGAACCTGGTAGCTTAGTGTAGTTGCAGATATCCTAAGGATAAGGAAAACTATAAGTGTTGTGATAACTACAATAATTTTCTTCTTAATTCTTTCTTCAATATTTTATAAGCATGGCAAAGCTCCCTTTTATAAATAGGATTAGAGGCGTAGGAATGGCTAAAACAAGGAAAGATTTTCCTAGAAAAACACTTCCTAAAATAGATTAATTATTGAAGGTAATCGAACCAGAATAAAATCAATCAAGTAAATCAGACAGCTATCACTTCTCATTCTCCTACTTGATTGCTCGTTTATCTTTCAATAATATTACATTGTAATATGCATCAAAATCACTAAAACAAGGAAAGAGAAATCCTAGCAAATGACTTCCTAAAATAATTTAACTAATGATGGTATTAAAATCTACTTAGAATGGAATTAATCAAGAAAAGCAATCAGCTATGACTCCCCATTCTTCTACATGATTGCTCTTCTATCTTTCTGTAACAGTATATTCATTTTGACATTATTTAAAAATTTAGTGAATCCTCTTTTGAACGATACTTTGACTCACACTTTCATATGATTTGTTGCTCTGTATCAAATGCTGACACATGTAAAACAGCAATTACCTTGCAATGAATTCTAGCCGTGGAAGGTGAAGCCAATGACCTGCTGACTTGTATAAGAGCAGAACCTTCTGTGTTGAGACTTCCATCCATAGGATAAATCTGAGCTGCATCCTCTGGTTCCATGTCAATGCAAAATTTACTTTGTGCTTCCTACATTTGTTGGAAGCAAGAAAAAATAAAGAAGACCATCAACGACTATGGTCCATCTATAGTGGAATAGGTCAATGGGAAGAGAGGGAGGAATGAGAGAGAACCTTTGAGAAGTGGTAACCTTCAGGCACAGATATTTGGAGATGTAACAGAGTTTCTTTTGATGAACTACCATTAACAACAATGGTCTGTGTGTCCACTCGTCTTCTCCTAAGCCGTTTCAAAGATGGGGATTTAGCTGCAGGAGGCGGAACTCCCTTTAATGGTAGCGTGTGAAGTTCAGCTTTTCCATCGATCAGGTCTAAATATCTGATAAGGTTGTTGTTTGTATCTGCTATGAATAATCTTCCTGGATAAAGCCATTCAACCATGAGAGCCACAGGACACATTTTCTTTAATTAAATGGAAAGAGTAACCATGTGAGAGGGGTGTCACCATTTTCTGCTTGAGCAATTCCTGCTGGTTCAGAGAGCTGGCAAAAAAAATCACTTAAGTGGCGCATTTTAATCCTACAGGAAATCTCTCTTGCTTGAGGTACGCTAAGAAACAAACTTCTACCATTACAGTTCCTTCATCATGAAGTGTAAGCTATATAGGCTAATAGGCTACATCTACAAACAAGAACAATTTATCTCTCCTAAAGTTTCTTTGTTTTGTCTGACATAGTTTTCACGCCATTTATTCAGGTAAAGGAACAAGAAAAAAGTAAAGTGCAGTAGTAAGGGGGATCCTTTTGATAAAACAAAGTTTTCAAGACAAGTTGATCCTCTATATAGAGTGCTGTATAAGACACTTAACATCACAACAGAAAGAGGATACCAATAAAAGTAGGGATCTACCAACTGATCTAGAAAATAAGACCAATGCACCCTACAATTTTACTATTCAAACTGGTGCAAATGACATGTTTCTTAAATTTCATTTATTTTTAACACACATCAAATCCCATGGAACTTTTGAGACCTGAGATAATAAAATACTAACAACCTGAGATCTTGAAGATGCCCCGTCCTTGAAGCCAGCACGACCAGTGCCAGCTAATGTGCTCACCGCTCTACTAACTGGATCTAGCTTCTTAATCTGGCAATTAAATACAGCTCCAACTCAAACAAAATACTGAATGTGAATCCAGTTATATCTTAAGAGTTAACAAAATTATAAGCTCTAAATGAACGATTGTTCCTTTGAACAAGATACACTAGAGATAATAATATTCTAATATGAAGATTGATAGTGCCTTGAAAAGAGCTGTACCTTTGAAACCCAAGACATTTGAAACTTTAAAGCGCAAAAATGTGAGAAACTATGTTTTTCTTACATACTCCCTCCATCCCATTATGTTCTCCATCTTTTCTACTTGAAGGTAAGTTTGGTTTAAGGGAGTGAAGGGGAGGGAAGTGGATGGGAGTGGAGGGATATTGAGTGAATTTTAGCCTTTCCTTCGAAAAACCTCAAATTGGAGGGATGGAAAAAGAAAGGGAGGGGGTGGATAAAGCATCTTCCCCACCCAAATTTTTGAACCAAAGGAAAGGAAGGGAAACAATAGACCATGACATAAACATTTTTAGCATCTTATCAATTCCACATATATATTATAAACCTCTTATACTGCTTGGATATTGAAATAGATATGAAAAATAGAAACATAGTTTGGGGAAGATGATGAATATGTCGTAAGTCACGTATATTGCATCAAGTGTTCTCCACTATTTATACAAAGTCATACGGCTGTTACAGCTGTATATTAGTAAAATAATGCAAACATGGAAAGTAAATATGGTGTGTGATATTGTGCAATCACATGTGATACATAATCGGCAACTTGCCATGCAAAGACCAAACGTGATATACGCATATCACGTATTATTGGAGTTGTCAAAATCGTGAAGATGGGAGAGGGGAGACAAGGCATAAAGATATTATTAAAAAGACTAGGTTGCCTAGAAATTGAACCGTGAAGTTTGATGTTTTGAACTCACGACCTCTAGCTGATTTTCTCCTTATTAATATTCCGCTGTCAATATTGTTTCTCTTCAACTTAGTGTTAAAATATTTATAACTGAGCAGAAAGTGAAGTTCCCTAGAATGCAATTTAGTTTCATTCAATGTTTTTTTCTAAGCCTGATCCCAGTGTATTAAAAAACTTGATTTTCTAATAAATGTGCAAAGTCAAAGCAGGGGGGAAATGTACAAGGGAGTTGTGAATATAGAACCTCTATTGAGTTCAATGCATCAATTAGAGTATATAGTCTTTCCTAAGGTGTATCTACAACCTCTATTTCAAACACTTCCGATCACGATGTATCTGCAACAAAGTTTTGATGCATTGAACTTCTGGACAATGAATTACTAGGGTTTGAACTTTCAACAAGAGTATGTAGTCGATCCCATCTAAACTTTGTTAATAAACTTGGACAATGAATTACTCTACAGATACCATGTCACTGACCCCAACATAGCTAGGAAAGGTGGTGATTATATTACATGATAAGAGAAACACTCTTTTATGTACACAATGAACCTAAAGCAAATAAAATGGCTTCATTAATTTCTGAGTCATGAACTTCAGAACCACGTGAACTTAGCTACTACCCACCAGTATCAATGATTATTGGTTAAAGATAGTAATTAGTAATTACCTTGTGATTGTACGAATCTGCTATATAAACTTGACCATCTCGACCACATAAAACGCCTAATGGGTGCTGAAGAAGTGCACCAGAACCTATTCCATCAAGGTCTCCAAACTGCAAGTTAAACTAATACATTAAGAGGATTTGTCATATGACAATCTTAGAAAAGAAAAACTGATGTAGACAATCTGGTTCTCATGTCTCATTGTAGAAATACCCGGAACAAATTATCTGAGAAATTTGGGTCACCACCAGCAAGCAATTTTGAACCTCCTGTCCTAAGATCAACGGCTCGAATGGAGCTACTCTCACTATCAGCAATATATGCCTCCTTTCGGTCTATAAAATACCATAGCATGACAGCCAAATATGACTAAAGCATAATAGAAATTTTGAATGAGAGAATCATCATTGGTTGTTCCAGAATATTACCAGGTGATAGTGAAACCCCAGAAGGTTGTGCGTATGATGTGTTCCTGGAGCTGAGCCATTGAATTGAAAGTGCAGAGGATATTAGCTTTTAAGTAGATTGTGTCACGAAGTAAAGTAAATGTTCAGCAGATAGTTTGACACAATGAACATTTTGAGTCAGCATAGGATGACATCAATCACTTAAAGTTTAAACTGTTATTCACTTTTTTATGACATAAAAAATGCTTTTTTACCAAACACTACCAACTTTTACTTTTTCTCAAACAGTACCAACTTCTACTATTAAGCACTTTCTTTAAAATCACGTTAAAAATCACTTTTTTGAAGTAGAAGCAACTCCAAACACTCCCTAAATGTTCATGATTAGTGATTCTTTAAATTACTTCCATCCATCTGCTAATGTATGGTTCCCGATATTCTGATATTCATGAATCATAATGAGCTAAATGATGGGAATTATGCTCAACGTTGGCTACAATATGCAAGATGGTCTGATCCGGTTTATGATAAGGCAAAAGATAGGAAGTCCAGTGTCCCAAGAAAAAAGATTCCAGTGCCCCAAGAAATAAAGATGGGCAAGCCCCATTATTGGTCAAGAGGCCCAGAGCAACAGTGTGGGCTGTGGCCCATCCAGAGCATGGGGCAGTAAAGGAGCAAAATATATCCAATTTGGAGGTATGTATAGTGGTCCTATTATGTATGTACTATCTTGTAGTAGAGTCCTTCTAGATATATTATTTGAGAGGAGTCTAATCATATTACAATAAGGACTGGGACACAGACTGAGTAATATAAATAGGACCAATGCTCTTGGGCAGTTCAAATCTTCTATCGCACACTCCTTATCACGTTTGTGTACCACTCCTAATTGGTTACTGTCTATTAAATAATTAAATTAATAACATAAAAGTCTTTGTATTAATTATTCCCTCTGCACCAAAAATTTCTTCCCACTTTCTCTTTTGGGATGTCCCAAAATTTTCCACTCATTTCCTTGAGTAATAGTTTATGTGGTTGATAACATGATATTGTTTACCTTCTTTTACATCAACCACACCCGAACGTTTTAACTTTCTTAATAAACATGCCAAATTAAACTTAGAAGAAAATTTGAGACAGAGTAATATTTACTCAAACAAACAAACAACAACAACATTACTCCAGTGCCGCAAAGGCCTCCTACAGTCCCACCTACGGTGGGGTAAGGGTGGTCGGATGTATGCAGCCTTACTCTTGTACTAAAGCACAAAGAGACTGTTTCCGGATGATCATGATGAAAACTGCGTCGAAAAATGTATGGACTGACTGCTGCTTCAACAAAGAAGCGCGGACAGTTTAGTGAGCCATTTTGCTTTATTCCATCATATTCACCCAAAAAATAGTGAGTCTTTGCCTCTTTGACTCCATTGGAAATGATGGAAATAAAGTAATATTTACTCAATCAGGATAAATTGGCACACTAGTGAGATAGGGAAAGTGGGATAGAATATTCCAATTCCTTTTAGGGAGATTCAACATCTTATTTTGAATACTCAATATAGTTCCATAACTCTTTCAAGCTATATTCTTCACTATGAGCTTGTTCTTCATGTATTCTTCGTGGTACTATACTGGTTTGTGTTGTTCATTATTCCCTATTATTAGATTGTTCTTCGCGTGTTCTTCATTTGTTAAACAATTGTACTAGTTAATGTTGGGCTGAGATATTGAATACCAACACTAATATAATTTAGTAAATGACAATGTGTGCTACAACCCATAGCAACTCATTCATTTTTCAATTGCATATAAGCATCAATGACCACTAAACAAAAAGACATTTGATGCATAGAAACTAAACATGAATAAAAAAATTACATTAAAATAAACCTCAAATGATGTATTTAGAGATGAAAAATGTAATTATGAACAAACAAACAAACAAACAAACAAACACACTACATTGACCCATTTCTTAACATTCACCAACTTAATGTTTTTGTCATATGACGTATTTGGAGACAAAAAAGTTGTAATTGTGAAAAAGACACGAATATTACCTTGACCCATTTAAATTCCTCTCATAACCATCACCACTGAAAGCTTTTGTTACGCCTTCTGATGTATAATGCTTCCAGATTTGATGCTGACCGGCCATTGCAATGTATACAATCTCATTCTCAGGATCAAAACAGATATCCCATGGAGAATTGAGAGCCTGCAATCCCATTGCCATGTTACAATCTCATTCTCATTATCATTTTGTCATATATAAACCATTGCTCGACTGTATATTAAGATCTACTACCACTGTGCCAAAACGGTAGTGCCAACGCATATCGCTTTTGATCTCTAATTTTATACGTAGTATATAAAATTTTTATCATATTCAAACTCAATTTTTATCAGTGAAACCTCAAATCTGATAGTGGTACGGGACTACAATTTTGGGATGAAGTATATCACTACTTTAAGTGTACAAATCTTGCCTGAGTAGTTCCTGTTCGTCCCCCTTCATAATCAGAACCTTTTGTTCCATTCCCAGCAATGGTCCTTACTGACTCACTTACAAAATCAATGACTCTGCTTTGCATAAAAGTTGCAAGTACTATGAGAATAAAATTGATCTATTTAGATGCAGAAAAATAATAACAATAAAATAAATAACAGTCTATGAAGGGAATAAAATTGAAAAGACTAGTGAAATAAATAACACATAATGGAAAAGGAAAATATAAACCAAGAATAAAGTAAATTATTTAAATTTTTAACATATTATAATTGAAAAAACGTGTCAAAATCTGTAACATATGTTGCAGAAAAATAAGAGCCAGGTACTTAACTGAACAAGTTTAGCTTAGTGGTTTCATCTAAACCACAAGTAGCCTCTGGAAGATAAGGAAAAACATATATTTCCTCTATCCTTGAAAAACTGACATTACAAGTTGTAACCTAATATCACCTAAAATAGAAATGCCAAATCCAAGTAGGATACATGTCAAGTAAGATTTGGTACATTTTTAATATGACAAGGTGGGAAATATACCCACTTGATTGGTTCATACCACACTAAATATACTCGCCTAACTTTGTCTATTTTTCTCTGTTAGATTGTTTTACTCAATAGAAGAACATTTTACAAGTAATGGAACAAACATGATCAATGCCCATGAAATTCATACAGTTTTATTCAATTGATAGTTGTAATAACCATCAGTTTCTATTACCTTTTTTTATTTTTATCAAATGTCATTTACATGATCAGAAATTTGAATTACGTACAAAATTTGATATTTAGATGATGATTAATTGTTCGAAAGTACAGAAGTTCAATGTGGATTTTGGATTTGACTTTTCAAACTCAACATAACAACAACATCCAAGCCTTAGTCTCAAAAGATTTTGGAGTCAACTCTTCGATTCATGTTATGTGATGTGATGTGACTTAGTGATACTGTTGGCCGTCACGCGTCTATCACAGCACCCTCATCTCTTATCCTGGCTTGGAACAGACATGATACCAAAAGTGATCGCATGGCGGAGTTTTTCAACTCAACACAAGCATCCATATTAAAGGAAGCATACAAGAAAATGGAAGATGGCTTGGGGTAAAAATTTCTTAAAATCTAATAAAATGCTCGTAAAATAAACTCTTGTAACCAGATAAAATTCACCAGGCAGCAGTACCTCAAAGCATGGTTCTCTGTATCTGCCACATAAAGAAGGTTTTTCTTTGCATTGTAAGATAGACCCTGCACAGAACAAAGTTAACAAATATTGACATTAAAAAGACAGAGACTCTGGATATCAAATGATTGGGGGGTAAGAAAATCAGCTTAAATTGAACTTTGCGATTTATATCAAGTCCAGTCTAAGAATAATGACAACTTCTCCAAAAACAAACATTATGGTGTTTGAGCACTTATATACAAGCCATATACTAATTCAAACCCAAATTACTTTGCAATATTACATGAGAACCACTTGCCCATTTAAATGTCTATTCAAAGTCGTGATTTGTGAAACGCAACCCCAACTTCTCTTATATTTCAGCAGTGAAAAGACATCCCAGTCAAATCACTGAATGCGATCAAAAGTAGATGGAGCAACATCCAAAACATTTCCAGAAACTATGATGTGGATAATTCAACTGACATTACCTGTGGTCGATTGAAAGTCGCCTCATCAAAATGACCATCATGAAGACCCTCCTCCCCTGTGCTACCAACTTGAACCAAATAGTTCCCTTCAAGGTCAGTAACTACCTGTGTTACAGAGACAAAAGTAACAGTATACCACCAAGATTAATTAGTCTAAGACTACGCAGAGAAAAGCGAAATAATACGAAATGAGAAGAACAGATCATTCTTTCTGTAGGTGGCAGACTAGCAATGGTTTTCATACAGTCATCAAAGTTGTTCATTAGATTAAAGTAATACTAGATATTTTGTTGGTTCAAAACATAGACGCAAGTTGAAGAACAGATATTTCTTTCTGTAGGTGGCAGACTAGCAATGGTTTTCGAAGTTGTTCATTAGGTATGTAAGCACATGGCGCCAGCATACGCTTAACGTTTGTCCTAAGTCCAACCACTAGTCTAGGAAAATTCATGCTGCTCACAAACATTACCCTAACACGTACCAGGCTGAATAGAAGGTACAGGGAAGCAATACATTTATGTTTACAATATCATAACTAGCTTAGCAAAATTTTGTGAAGAATAAAATCCCCTGCAGTGTGTTCACATATCACATATCAGTAAACAAACATTTCCAAGAATCAAGAAAAAATTATGTTCCCCAATTGGCATTTTCCTGAAATACCCGCAAACGGACAATAACAAGTAATGCACAATACTTTTTGCATCTGCCAGCACAGTTCAACGGTTTCACTTTTTGGGAAGAAAGAGCTGAGAGCCTGATATAGAATAAGCCTAGATACACACGTATAGAAGATAGATAGAGAGAGAGAGTACTATTCTGTTGTGGTTGCTGTCGGAAATGAACAGACGGTTGTTGAGAACATCAACTGCCAGTTTACCCGGAAATTTCAAGGGGGATGCTAACAAGTAGGGATCATTGTCTCTCTCCAATTTCAAAGGAATGGGACTACTATCCAATAGCTTTTTTCTACCATAGAAAAGAAGTGCCGCCTCAACTAAGTCATCAAGATCCTTGGTACAAGCCGATAAATAAATAAGTAAATGAATAAATAACTCAATGACTTGACTAATATTATTATTACTATGAAGAGCACCAAGCTATTCACAGTAGCAGGCAAGCTATTCACAGTAGCAGGAAAAAGATAACCGTATTTCTTAAAATCATTAAATGCTGAACTTTATTATAGTTCTACTGCGATCGTATTGTGCTTAGCAGTCTCATTCAAACATCTCTCATTGTCTAGAAGGACACTTGAAAAAACCAATAAAACACAAAGTTTAACAGAATATGTACTATGGGATGCATGTTTCAGTAAGGAAAAGTAACTATGGGATGGGAACAAAGCCATCAAGATAAAACTAAGATCGTGTGCTTGGTAAAAGGACGAGCTGAAGGCAAATACTTTCAAAATCAGTTAGTAACTTAACTAAGTAAATAAAATATATCCAATGTTAAATGCATAGAAAAACTTGGCTTGGTTCAAGATAGATGAGATCTGGGATTGATAGTGACATGTACAAATAGTACTCTCTTTTACTTCAGGACCATGTTTGAAATGCTACAGACTCGAGAGAAGTTAAAAACTCTATGGACTAATTTTACAGGAAACAATGAACTATATGTGTAGAACATTTTCTTCCTATTTACCAAACTACACTAATTTGCAGCCAGTAATAATATACAAGCTCATGTTTGAACAAGCAAAAGTAAGAGAAATCTACAATCAAATGAATAAACTATATCTTATTGGTTTTATTTTAGTATATAATTCAATTAAACATTGATCATACAACTTTCATTATCTACATTTGCAGTTGAATTCAGCTTAATTTAATTATGCAATTGATTGAGCCATATTATTGGGAAAAGTAGAGCAAAAATAGAAGCCTGTTTGTATACCTTTCTATGACCCTCACCAGCAATTTGTGCAAGAAGCTTTCCATTTGGCCCAACAACAGCAAAGGTGGGCCAGGAATTTATACCTAACTCTCTCCATAAATTCATCTCTCCATCATTAACAACCTAGATATGCAAAGGGACCACACGTTTAATATGTCATGGGCTAAAAGTTAACACAAAGATATAACAAGAGAAAAGAATTGCAAGGTGACGTAGTTACTGGGTGAGTGACTTCATAGCGCAACACTGCATTGCGAATAGCTTCTAGGTCTTTCTCATTGTCAAACTTTGCTGAATGCACACCCACGACAACAAACTGAAAGACTAACCATTTATGAATTATCTATTTGGCTCATGAATTTACTGTACATACAAATTATCTATTTGAGAACAGAGACTGACTGCACAGTGCACACATTGACACAAATACTAATTTTTGCTCTCACATTTTCCTTCTTCTGCAACAAGCACAATATTTAATGCCCATGCACGCACTCACACACACATGCATGCATGCACACATAGTGGCAGCCGCCCCTGCTCTTTTTTGGAAATTCCTGATATAAATAAATATATTTGTGTCTATGGGCATATGATCACAAAACATTGAGCTCAGATCTAGTATAAAAAAATAAAAAATGCTTGCCACCTCTGGTCTCTTGCTGTTGTAGGATAGTTTAAACATTATTTCATTTTCATTTTCATTTACCCCAGTGCCGCAAAGGCTCCCACCTACGGTGGGGTAAGGGGGGGTCGGATGTACGCAGTCTTACCCCTGTACTACAGCACAAAGAGACTGTTTCCGGATGACCCATAGTGAAAATCGCGTCCAAAATTGCATGGACTGACTGCTGCTTCATAACAAAGAAGCGCAGACAGTTTAGTGAGCCATTTTGCTTTATTCCATCATATTCTCAAGCCAAAAAATAATGAATCTTTGGCTCCATTGCAAATGATGGACAAGGATAGTTTAAACATTCTTTTACATTATTTCTAATGTAGATTCTTTTATGTTTCTGCAGATTTAATTTTAAAAAAATGATATTCATGGTTCTTAGATTTGATTTATCAAAAACCAGCCTTAATAATCACAAACTACATATTAGTAGTTTGTGATGAATTTAATACATAGTAGTGTAGACATAGAGATTCAAGAACCCATGGTTACAAATTCAGAATGAACGCCATTCCTTTTAATAGTTTAACGAGCACATACTATAGCTAGATAATTTACGCGGTGAAACGATCAAATGATATATGCGTGCAGAGATTCAAAGAACTTGATGGTTGGGAAGGAATGCATTATACAATGGTGGATTGACATGTACTTGTCAGGAGCATTGTAAATCAAAAAGGAAATCATGGAATCAATTGGTTGAAATAAGAACCAAGAAAAAGTAGTCTTACAGGCATATCTTTATACTTTTTCTCCAGAAATTTCAGATCTGGCAGCACATGCATACAATTAATACAGCAGTATGTCCAAAAGTCCAGAAGAACGACCTTGCCTCTCAAATCCTGTCAAGTAAAAAGATGAAAATCTAAGTTAAGGCTGAAAGTTACACTCAAATCCTTTCTAAACTTTTGTGCTACAACCATCAAATATGACAATATAAAGGAAAATGAAAGATGGGATATTAATTTACCCGGCTGAGCTGAAGAGGGGCAGTATTTAGCCAATCTAATTTAGCTGGGAACTCTGGCACAGTAGTTGCATTTTTCCTTGCAGATGTCGGTAATTGAAATTTGAGATAAAAAGAAACTCAAGTTAGTCGAAAATGTGAAGTATCAAACAAGGGACATAAGTGGGGTTTTAGCGTAAAGCGGGTAACTATTTCCTATCATGAACAATAATAAACTAAGGGTATATACGTGCCTGGTCTCTACATCAGAAATATAGTTTATGAGCTGTTCAATTCTCTGTGTGCGAGATGAGTCTGCAGTATGAATAAGTTTAATGAATTTCTTTTATTTCAGCTAGAACCCATTTTATAAAGTAGCTAAACAGAATAATTAAATGAAAATAAAACTAAGGTTCGATTCGTTTACTGGGAAATATTGCAATTTGAAAAGTAGGCATGAAGCAAGCAAAAAGAATTTGCTAACGCCAGACCTTCACTTTGTCCAAAAGGGGGGCTGCTGACTCCAAATAAAAAGTTCCAAATAGCTTTTGGAGACGTATACTGCATTGCCTATAAAAGAGTACGAATGATAATTTATAATTAAAAACAGTTCCATAAATATATAAATTAGATCAACGAAAACCATGTATGACGGAATAGAGCTAAATCTAAATCCAAATCATTTTTTATGCAAACCCTCTTTTAGTTAAAGCATTACCTTCCAATTTGTGATGGTGAAAACAAGACAGGAAACAGCAATGCCCAAACTTGTATATCTCAAAACATTGTGCCGGGACACGTGCACCCTGTTGATGAATGATTTATGCAGCCTCATGTCACATTAAACTGAAATCATACTTGTGCTGATCTAGAAGTTGAATAGTCTTAACAGTCTTCATTGACCAATCAAGTGTCTTCAAGAGCCAACAGATATACTGTCGCAAAAAACAACTTGAGAACAAAGTAGAAAGCTAACAATGGTAAAATCTCTAAATCTCTGATTCATAAGATGGACAAAGGCACATTTGAAGCTTATATCATACAACATTTTTCTTTAGAAGCTTCTGGTATGCATTGGAAAAACTCCATAGAATGAGTAATATTGAAGACAAGAAATGAGTTCAGTGAAAGAGAAAAAGAAAAAAAAAACAATTCACTATTTATGCTCATAAATAAATCGAGTGTTCATACTTCATAGTCAATAAGCTTATCTAGGACCTTTACTATGTCATAGACAATATAATGATTTCCGATCTCCTTTTCCAAGGGAAAAGATGGTAAATTTGGCCGAAATAGTTGAAATTCCTGGAATTGTGTTGATCTGATTGAATGGATAAACATGCTGATTAGTCAAAAAATGAACATATGTGCATATGGGATAACTGGTCTTTCCCTGCGATGATTTGCCCAATTATTTTAAACCCCCCCTCATTTCATTTTATTCGAACATGCACCCCAGATTCATTATTAATGGAGCCATCATTTGTAATGGAGCCAAAGATTCATTATTTTTTGGCTTGAGAATATGATGGAATAAATGTCTGCGCTTCTTTGTTATGAAGTAGCAGTCAGTCCATGCAATTTTGGACGAGATTTTCATTATGGGTCATCCGGAAACAGTCTCTCTGTGCTTTAGTACAGGGGTAAGAGAGCTTTAGTACAGGGGTAAGATTGCGTACATCCGAACCCCCCCCCCCCCTACCCCACTATAGGTGGGAGCCTTTGCGGCACTGGGGTAAATGATGATTGATGATGCACTCCAGAAATCATGTGGCGCAAAGTCTAATTGAAATTACCCGCTCCCTGGTAAACCATGTGTTTCAACAGCAAGCTTTCGCAAAAAATACCTTCTGTTCTATGTTTTTCCTCATTAAGAATCAACTAATCTTCCTTTTGTCCTTTTTATTCTATAATTTTTAGGTAGATCCAACTCTTTTTTATATTATCCTTTTTTCATAGCTTATCTTTTTATCTTTCTTTTCTTTTGGTTACGATATCATGTATCGATTCATGTTAGCCGACCCCAAAATCTTTTGGGACTAAGGCTTGGATGTTGTTGTTGTTGTTGAAGAATCAACTAATCCAACCTAGTTAACATAATATAGTCTTGGTAAAAAAAACTGGCTGCTAGGTAGAAAAAAGATGCCACCACATAGGCACACAGTGTCTTTCACTTTTTTCTGGGATATTTGACTGTGGCGGATGGGTTTGCAACTTTGCATAGAAGCTATGTATGTAAAGAACAAAAAAAATGGTGCAAGACATATCCATAACGCGTAGAGAGTTAAGGTTTAACTAGCTTTTGAAGTTTGTATTGCAGTCTAACAGAAAAGGTGCCAAACAAATTTAATTTCCGGCAGCTGAATGCAGGTTATGCAGCACCACATTCGGATAACTTTTGCAACAAAACAGTGCCATCATAGTCAGTAACTTCTGGTTTGTATTTCATTGTAGCTGTAAATGGAAAGAATCCATTGGTGTAAGGGATGAACTGAAGCTTAAATGTGTACATTTAATTTATTTAGTGTAAGCATTTATTGGAGGTTCATAACCATTAGATTTTAAATCAAAAATATTGAAGATAACCATGGATACTTTTTTAACGGAGAGCGAGAGAGGACGTAATTCATTAGTGGTAGGAAAATTTTCAGTTAACTGATTAAGATGTCAAGTGTCTCTTACCCTCCAAACCAGGAGATTGGATCAATGGTAGGGTATTTATCCTGCACAGATGTAATCTCTTTAATGTTGGGTTCAATTGAAGATGGTGCATGATAACTGATAGATTGAGATGCCTGCATCTTCACCTCTGCAATTTATATCTCCATGAGAACTCATTTCATATTTTATAGAAACTAAAAACATAACATTGAGCATAAGGTTCACTACTTCACTCCCATGAAATCCCATCAGAAGCTCAAAGCTCAAAGCCTTCGTGCAACTTTCAGAAAAGTAAGTAAAACCTCAGAGCTTAATGCTGATAAAAAGTAAATAGATTAAACAAGGAATTTGTTTACAAAGGAAGAAAACCTCCTTAAGTTAAAATAATAAAGAATCAATTACAAGATTTTCTTACTCTTAGAATACACAGATCAGCTTCATCATTATCACGAAAGGTACAAATGGAATTACTCATTAGATTTTAGTACATAATACATACTATGGGAATCAGATCCACCACTGAGAATATCATCAGTTGAAATATTGCCTATCTCCTTTCTGATAAGAGTCGGAGCAGCTGCTTCTATAGTATCTTCTGCTAATGTTGTGGTCACAGCTATGCATCTGTAATTTTATTAGAAAACCATAACACCAGAAAAATGCAATAACGAAAACAATCAAAGAGATAGTGGACACCATAACATTGTTAAACAATATTATTTTTTGCTCAAGTGATGGATGTGAATAAATGGTATCCGTTATGGCATTCTCATTCTAATGCTACACATTCAAAAATTAAGTTCCATTGGAACATAAGACACCGCTATTATTACCTCATTTTTGCTGCTTTGGCAGCTTGTATGCCAGCTATTGCATCTTCAATCACAACACACTGCATTGAAAGCAAGTAATGGATTATATCCTAGCACAAATTTCATCAACCCATACTCAAGTTTATAATTACGTAGTACAGCATGTTAGCAATTAGATGTTGTTCGAAATTTATGTATTTTTTAAGAGATCTAATGGTGTCACTGCATGCATGCTAACTTGCCTCACTAGGGGGCACATTCAAAATCTTTGATGCGGCCAAAAAAATATCAGGAGCAGGCTTCAAATTTTCAAATGCATCTGCAGAGACAATTGCATCAAACCTGAAGGCGAGCGGAGGGATGGTGAGCACCACAGTAGTGACAATATAAAACATAAGGTAACTGTACAACTCATGCAATGTGAACTTTGTTTCTGATCATCAAGAAAACCAATTCTTTCATCCACTAATATAGAAAACTTAACGAAGTCAAAATAATGAACTAACTCATTGTTTCCCGATCTTTTGAGGGAAAATATTGGGACACAATGAGTTATAGGATTTGCCCACCCAAGGCTTAAGAAAAATCAATCATCAAATATATAAATCAAATGACAACAATAGCTCACATCGATAATGACAAACCAGCGGCTGCTAAGTTTGCATCAACCTTGATGCGATCAGCACTTGAGGCAACAGCAACTTTGAGACCTTTGCTTTTACACTGTCACATAGATTAAAAAAGATTTAAAAGATAACTTAAATATGATAACCACATGATAGCAATATAAAAATAAAGTATGGAGTTATTACTTGCCTGTGTGACAAGCTCAAAGGCGCCGGGGAAATTTATGCCAGAATTTGGTTTTGCGTACTGCAGGAGAGGATAAAGCTTTGTATTAAGTAATTAGCTACTCAAACAGTTGCTTTTATCATACAACAAGGTTTCTCCCAGACAGGGAGAGGCAGAAGCCTGTAGCTCATTTTCTATGGCTTCACATTAAGGTGAACCTCAAGGTTTAAGCTTCAATAGCTTTTTACAACTATGCAACATGCTAAAAGTAAATCCAAGTATTTACAAAAAAGAAAATGCATTACCTTCTCTAAATATATCTCAAAAAACCTCTTCTTTGATGCATCAGGATTGAATCCCTTAACACCTTTTGCATTAGCAACACCACCTAAGAAGTTCACTTCCCCTGATTTGTTCATAATGATAATCGGAAAGGGAAATCAAGCAGGGTAGAACAGGAAATGAAGTGCCAGAGAATAAAATATGGACTAAATTCTTATAAATATAAAATAGATCAATGAAAGACACTGTAACAGGAAACAAGGTCTAGGCAACTACTCGGCAATGTATGAAACACAACCAAGCTCTATTGCTTCAATTCATACACAGTGATTCCCTATCAATTTTGCACAAATGGAGCAAGAGCAGAACAAGTCACATGACACATTTAAACCTCTATTTTGAATATTTAAATCGATGAACAATACTAAATCTCTAGTCCCTATTATGAGCTTGTTTGGTTGTACCTTATGATGTGTGTGGGAGCCTCAACGATAGTTGCATACTCAGAAAGTTTATTACAAAAAATATATATAAAGCATTAGTATGAATACTCAACGAAAAACTCTTTACTTTGCTCACTTGAGTTAAACGTTTGTAGATTATAAAGAAGTGCATATTTTCTAATCTGACAAATAATTCATAGGTGATGGGTAGAAAAGATCAAAGAATAATCAAATATTAAAGAACATGCAGAATTTTAATAGGAAGCGGTGAAACTTAGATGTTTTCTTTTTACCAAATGATTGTTAAAATGAATTACTCATGAGTATTATTACATAAAATATGTTTTATTCAATTCTTTTGTTTTTACTAGCTTTGAGCTCATTCAACAATCCCACATTATTATCGCCAATTAATACATAAAAACATATATCTACAATTTGTTAATTAGAACCATGATATCACAATCATAATAGAATATATCCAGAAAAAAGAATTGTAACAAAACTATCCTCATCAAAATATCAAATATGATCTGGGCACACACATATTGTCATTGACTCATTGTATGTATAAAATATAGTAAAAGATTTGAAATACAATTTTGTATTTGAATATGTGTAAATATACAATATTGTACTCTCTACAAAACACAGAAGAGCTCCTTAGTGGGGCTTATCAGAACCAGCGCAACGTGGAGACCACACTGCAGTGTGGGATAAATAGTTGCATTTCTTGTGTTTAGTCTTCTATTACAATTTGGGTTAGCAATGCATGCATGAATCTTGAACTATAGTGTTAGCTTTCAAGTGGAAATCTGTTTATTATTATCTCGTAAATGTATATAAATAGGGCATCACCGAGACATTAGAGATAGCTTGAATACTAATAAACACTATTGGGTTAAGCTTTCACTGTTTTCTTCATCTATCTTTCCCTGCTAAGTGCATTACTATCGCTATGTCACATCAAAGGAGTCATCTATGAGTAAGCTACAACTTTTTATTCATTATCAACTCAATATAAACTTAACAATAAGGGTACAAAATCCAGTAAAAATCACATCCCTTTCATGGTTTTAATTCCGATGTGTATTGCGGCCGCTGCGATGCGTAATGCAGTCGCTGCGATGAAATATTTTCAAACTCCTACAAAAGGAATAGAATGATTTTTTTGTATTCTTTAACAAATGTTCTATATACTAATCATATTTAACAATAAATTTTTTATTTAAATGAATGGTTGATAAAAAGGAGAATTCCCAAGAGAGGAGTAAAAATAGTTTGGAACTCAAAAACAGGACTGCCATGTTTTTATTCTCTAAACAGAATAATTATTGTCAGACTTGGAAAATATCTTCGTGTTTAATGTATAGTAATGTCATAATATGAAAATAGTTACCCCTATTTAGAAATAGGAATAAATACATAACAGTCCCAGTTCACAAACGTTTTTACTTCAATTTAATTTAGGGTTATTACTTTTGATAAAATTAATCCAAGACAACTAGACAACTAGCCAAGGACTATCTGGTGTGAGACATTAAAATAATGTGTACGCAACTAGGCAAATGGGCAACTGGGCAACTAGGCGTATGTTAGTGATGTTACAAGCTTACCAAATCAAACATTAAAATAAAGTGTACAGTGTCGATCGGAAGCGTTAAAGGTATACCTAATAATAGACTACAATGACACCAGAAATCAAGACAGCCCAATAACACCCACACGATACGAAACGTTGACGGTATCAAGCTAGGGGACAACGATGCCAGTGATGCGGTACTGTTGCGGCCGGTTGTGGCAGGGTGTGGCCCGTTTCGATCCAGATGCGATTTCATTGCGGTTATGTTACGGGTTTTCCCTATGAATCGAATTCCCACCGGTATAGCGGCCCAATGCCATTGTGCCGCCACCCGCGGCCCAATGCCATTGCGCCACCACCCGCGGCCCAATCAGGCGTTGCAGACAGTTATTTAGAACCATGATCTATTTTACTATAAATTGACATCTTCTCTCTTTTCCTGTTAAGTGCATTATTATCACTCCATCTCAATACAGGATTCATGTATGAGTAAGCTACAGCTTAAAATTAGTTATCAAATCAATAAAGGTGTAACTTTTAGTAGAATCCTATAGATTCTTTATCTTAAAATTATCAAGTAATTTCTTTAAATTTGAAAATGAAACCCATCAGAAAACCCATTTGTTAGAGCTAATTGACCCCTGTCCTCAGAACATATACTTAACATTCAAAAGCAACTCTTTATAGAAGCACTTTAAGAGAAAACACTTTTCTTGGCACTGCAAGAAACGTGTAGTAAACATCCAGGGAGACGGGGCAATCGTCCCCATTAAATACGCCCCTGAGCATAGGCTCTGCACCATGTCCTCATCCCAGAACGTGGGAGTATTGATTTTTTACTAAGATATATTTTTATGTATTCTTATGATTAGAGGACATAGGTAACTAAGTTAAAGTGCTGGGTGTGCCACTGAATATATTCTTACCCATGCCCGTAAAGGGTGCAAAATCTTCAACAGTAGCCCGAACCCCCATTTCAGCGAAAAGATCCACAGCTGCCCTCCTAGACAGCTCCTCGCTATTGCAAAGCACACCGTCCATATCAAACAGCACGGCAGAGACCTTTCCCCATTGGTTCCCCACCTCTGAAACGTTATCCTCCTCCGATTTCATGCACGCTAAATACGACCTTCTCCGACCTGATTCCTCGACGTGTTTCGGAAAAGTTTGAGCAAAAGTCGCCGACTTTGAGCCAGAGAACTGCGCCAGCTTTGATTGAGAAGCAGTAGTGATGGCAGTATGAAATGGCAAAGAAAATAGTTTTAATGCCATTGTTGATTTGTTGTGAGGAATGCAGCTGCAGCTCCACTTCGTGAGTAGGAAGTGGATAATGGTCTAATGGACATGAACTTCGACTGGATAACAGATGATCGGAAGAAAGAAGAAAATTGGACACTCATACTAGTCACATTTAAATTGCACACTCATACTAGTCACATTCAAGGGAGTGTTTGCAATTGCTTGTGCTTTTTAAAAGTGAATTTTTTAAGAGATTATTGGAAAAGTGATTTGTAGTAAAAGTTAGTGATGTTTGGGGATAGAAGTGATTCTAATTAAAATGTAAAAGTTGGAGTGCTTGATAAAAAAGTGATTGTGATGGTATATTTTAATGAAAAGTACAAAAATAACCTTTTTTAACATTTCCCGCGTAGGGTTGGGGGATTTTGGGGGGTTATTTGAGGGTTATTTTGGGGGTTAGGGGATTTATTTGCCATTATCATTAGTCATAAAGTTGAGGATATTTACAACTTTACCTAGAAGCTATTAAAAACTGGGCTGGGGTAGCTTTTAGATTTTGGCTTTAAAGCACTTTTTTTAAGGCAAAGTTGGGGTTACCAAACACTTAAGATTGCTTTTTTTAATCTAAAAGCTCCAAAGCACTTTTTTTAAGCAAACAAAAACACTCCCTAAATCTTCTAATTATACCTTTACTAATTTCATAAATAATAAACTATTACACCTATTTTTTATATTTATATTTCATTTCATCACATTATTTTACTATTTTCCCATCATACTCTCAATAATTTATATTCTTGTTTCATATTCTTAATACCACCCACTTTGGAAGGAGAAAGATATCCGAAGTATGTGATACGGAGGGAGTACTTGAGTAAATTTAAATTAGAGTACGAGGAGTATTTCTGCACTTTCACTCAAACACTTCAACATTCTTATTTACTTCACAGAAGAAGGAGAAACAGTTTTAAGAATCAAATCCAAAAAACAGGGAGGGGCGGGTTCAGGCACCTCAACCCGCCGAGATTTTTGAAGATTTTTTCTGATAAGGGAGGGAGCTTGAGATCGTTCGTGATCATTAGGATTCAGCTCAAGTTTCCAGTTTTTTTTGTCTTTATTTTTTTGCTCGTTGCTAGGAACTTGTTTATTTCTGTTGTTGTTGTTTATTCTATCATTCTTACATTAAGTAGGGGTGATAAGGGTTTTGCTCTGACTCACTTAGACCCATCACTACATTCTTTTGTCCATTGTTGAATGTTTTATTATCAATATAAGTCGCCTTGTTTCAAACAAAAATAGTAGATTCATTTGGTGAAAACGTTAAAATGGGTCAAACCATCATTTTTTTTACTGAAATCCATTTTCCAAACACCGCCCTATCTTGTAAATATCAATATTTGAATTTATTTGAATATTATCCTTGACTTATACTTGTACACATCTGGTGTCCCCAATTCTCACATAATATATACCCCCACTTTTTTTACTCCTCCCTTTCTCCCCTTCTCATTCATACGAAAACCCTCTATTTCATCTTCTTTTTTCCCCATTTACACCCCCTTCACATTCACGAATACCTATCTTCTCCAATACTTCTCGGTCTTCACCATCTCCACCATCTTCTACCTCCATCTATCTCACACCATGTTCATTATATTTCAAAAAAAAATCATCATTTTTATTTGTGAGAATAAAAGTTATTGTGAATTATAATAATATAAAATCAAACAAATACAAGTAATTGTGCTCAAAACATATATCAAAAGGGAGATTACAAATACAAAAATGAACATATTGAAAGTACATAAAAACATCACAGTATAAATGTTTACAACTTTTAAAAAATTTCATGAAATACTACATTGGTTGTTACATTAGTACTCCTATCTTCCTTGTCACATATAAAAAATTCCAAACCATTGGGATCAGTAACACGCGAAAGAACAACATACAATTGATCATGACTAAAAATGGGTTTGAGCAAAAATAATCCAACATTAGATAAAGATTGACCCTGACTCTTGTCTATCGTCATTGCATATGAGACAATAAGAGGAAGTCGCCTCCTTTGAAACTTGAAAGGCAACCTCACATCTGACGGTGTCAAAGACATTCTAGGTATCAACACTTTTTGACCTGCACTTATCCCCGTCAAAACTTTTGCTTCCAAAACATGATTGCCTAATCTAGTGATAACCATTCTAGTTCCATTGCACAACCCCTGTGAATGGTCTAAATTTCTCATAAGCCAACTTTAAGATGCGATTGATGTTTTGGAACTGTTTGTCCCTGTATTCAACAATCAAACTAACAATATAGCATCAAATAGAGAAGAGAAGAACAGTGTATTCGATATCAGAATGATGTTTTCTAATACAGAGCAATATTCGAAATACACAGTGTGGCTCTCTCTCACTAGACTAGATGTATGTGTGAATAATGTGTGTAAAAGTGTGGCACCATGAAAATTTAAAGTAAAAATATAGAAATAAGTAAAATAAATAAAAATAAAAAGATAGAATTTATCTGTTAAAAATAAATATAATTTGCCTGATGAAAATAAAACATTTCATTAAGTGAAATTAAATTGTCATTCCATTAAATTAAGATAAAATGAAATAGTTAAATTATTAATGAGATAAAACTATAACATACGGAGTATTACATTATCACAATTTGGGCATCGTGAAATTCATACAACGATAATAAAATTATAAGTAGTGTTGTAGGGAGAATTGTTCGGAGAGTTTCATTACCGAATGCCACTATAAATAGGGATAGAATAGGGTTTACAAGTACGGGTCAACAGGCCCAAATTACATAGTATACATAGAAATGACCCTAATACATATTCCATATAAACGATAGCACACTACATAGAATTTCCTTCAACACTCCCCCTTGTGCCGAGTTGAATATAGAATTTGGTATCTGTCTTGTTGTCTCATCAAATCCTCTGTCAAGTAACAAAAACCATGTGGGGAAAATAACCTTGACTGAAGAAAAAGAGTATAGCATCCCGATAGGCTTCTTCCATTAAGTCTATCCTTATTTGATCCTTGCTTTGATCAATATATTTTATGTGTCTGGTTACCTCATTAAAAACCTTACCAAGTAACAAAACCCAGTGGGAAAAATAAAACTTGGTTAAAGGAAAAGAGTGTAACGCAATGTAGATGGGGAACTCCCCCTCAAGTCTACCATATCCTTAAAAATTACATTAATCAAGGATGTTTGGAAAGTTCACACATTCCAATACTTTTACGTTAATCACCATATCGAAGGCACACAAATAGAGGAATATATTCCCTTTAATTCTCCCCCTGTGTGCCAAGTATAAGGTGATAAGAGTAAAAATGTTATAACTTGCTAAACAGTTGCCAATGAGCAAAACCCAATAGGAAAAAAATAAACATCAGTCGAAGGGAAAAGCAAGTATGATGCACCAGTAACTCCGCATCAATTACTTTTGATAGTAATTATGTTCTTTCTTCAACATTGTTTACCTTTACAAAATTAAAATGTGGTGCATATTATGTTGTCTCAAAAAAAACTTTGCCAAGTAACAAAACCCAGTGGGAAAAATAAACTTTGGTCAAAAGAGTAAAAAAAATAAACGCACCAATATACTTGATGATAAATAAGTATGTAAGGTACTCCCCCCTGAGTGAAAACACATCAATACTTGATATATACTTTTATCAAGGTATTATATATATAACATCATGGTTACTTGCATGATAAATATATACTCATTAGCAAAATACCAATGAGGTAAGGGGATCCCATCATCGATAAAACTCAAACCACGTTACTTTGTGATAGAGTAATACTTTTGATATTTTAAATTCCTTTAGGAATATTGTTATCATCAATCATTCAATTCAATGTATAAGGGATGATTAAAGATTACATCAATGGTTTCATATAGATATTAAAGAACATTCTTCATACCATTCCAATGACGATCATACGATGTGTTGGTCCTGAGCTACTTTTAGCTAACACATTATTGAGAATGTAATATTTGGTCGAATGTGTTTGTCAAAGTACAATCATGCGCATATTGCACTTACATAGGGAATTCCTTCTCCCAACATAGTGGATCTTTTCAAGTATGCATATTTCGACCGATCATGGGAGTGCTGACAATTTACATTTATCCATGTTAATTTGCCTGAGAACTCTTTTGGATATATGTAACTGGTGAATTAATATTCAACCAACTCGGTGTTTAATTTCAAAACAGACCCGAGTTTCCCGAGATCCTTTATCTCAATTATGTCTATATCATGTAGATATAGTGATATTTGGAAACAAAACTTATTTCCATTATAAATGCGCAAGGCATAATATATTCATTTTTCATCCCTTTTCTATCAAGCGGTCACTTAGACGGGTATGTCACTTCTGTCTGGATTGATTTAATCCAAATGTGTACGTTTTAATGTAAATATACAATGTAATTAAAAACCACTTGATTAGAAATAATGAAAACACAACAGATGTTTCATATATATCTCTTAGATAAATTTTTACTGAGACATTTAATAGCCACACTCTAAGTCGCGTCTCCATTACTTTGGAGACTACTTAGAGATTGAGTGGTTGAACATTTTTATGTTCAAAAATAGAGAAGTATAACTTTTCTTATTTGAATCCAGGGCGTTATGAGAATAATTAGGACCTCATTATCTCAATATGCTTTCTAACAAAGAATTATGTTATGTCCTACAGGCTTTACACTTGGTTGATTAGCACTATCACACCAAATACTTGTCTCTTTGTCAAATATTAAATTAATACCTGGATTACTTGTACGCATTTAGGCCAATGTTCTCATTGCTTTCATATTGCAATAGAGTGTGGTTCGATATCATCGTGCTCTATATTCCTTTGAGCAACCGTAAAAATATATCGTCAGTATAAGTGTATGGTCGACTCATACACACTCTCATTAACATTGAGATTTTAATTATCTGGAATCATTTGAACTTCGGGGCGTCCCCCATTATTGATTCATGGACATATTTAGTCAGAGATAATCTCGTGAGAGGAATTCATATGATGACGAGTATATTGGTTTGTGCCTTATCTACCCTCTACTACTTGGGGTGGATAATTAATCGAACCATGTGGCTTACTTCTATTCCTTTAGAGAGCCACGGCCTCAATCAC